TTTTATATACCACTTTTTTAATTCCGATTAAAGTATTTATAATATCTTACTTGAAAATTCTTTCCAAGTGCATATCTCAATTACCAGAACCGAGGACGCCGACATGGGAGCCTCGGGCACTGGGTTGCCTTTAATCTTTGGGGACAGGTTCCAACAACTACTTAATTTTTTTTCGTAAACGTGCTTGCATTCAAAGTTTGGCTTTCGCTTTGTCTCTGGGCATTTTTATGCTTTCTTGATTTCTATTTATTCTGGCTGTCGCCGTTTCGCGTTTGCTGTTTGTTTGCTGCCAGTCTCTCTGCTGCCGGCCCTCATAATTTGCGCTGTGTTTTATTGTATGCAGCTTAATTCGCTCCCCCCACTCTCGAGGCAACTCCCTCCTGCCCCAATCCGATTGTGCCTCAGTTGTTCTGCTTTAGTTCGACGTTGAAATGTGAGTCACGTTTAAAGTTCTGCGTTGGGGCCTTAAATGGCATGCTTGCTGGCCATGATTATGGTGGCGGAATCGGAGGAAGAATCCCCTTCTGGGCCGATGCCATATATAGCGCTAATTGTGCACATTTTGCGCTTGTTATAAATAAACGCACACGACCCAGGCCAGTCTGCCCATTTAAGCCCCGACTGGCTTGGGTTCGGGCCCAGTTCAATAGGGGCCATATTTTTTTTTGGCAAGCAGACGGAAAAGCCAAAGTTGCAGCGATAATTAAGACACTTTAGCGAGTTTCCTTGGCGCCATTTGCTCTTAGCTTGGCGTCGCCAAACTTTAATACTTTTCTCGTTAAAACTGAGAAGAGATTTTCAATGAATATAAATCGTAACCTCTTACGATTTTGTTATTTGGATAAAAATACATAACCGTAACATTTGTTTTACAAGGTACTTGTAAAGTTTATTTTAAGAGTCCTTTTTGTTTTTCAGTCTGGTAGCATATTTCCGTCTGATGCTTCCGAAATCATTCCCTGGAAACCGTGTTATCTGTGACGGCCAGGCCTAATCCCACAAACTATATTTATTTGTAAAAGCACAATTTTGTGTGCATATTTGCGCAGGATATAGTATATATATATGGCGACCATCACCACATCCGTTGCAGCAAAAATCGAACCAATGAATGTCCGACTTGGTTTTTGGTGAAAGCCAAAAAATGCACGGGGTTTTGTCCTTCATTTCCAGCTCAAATCCGAACGAATTTCAACGTTTTTTATGCACTGATTTTGGTTATTTATTGCCGTCTATTTTCTATAGGTTTTTTTTTGTTTTTTCTATGGCTCCCAGTGGGATCCTGGGCTGGCATTAAATATGTATAAATATTGATAGATTTTCGGTCAACGCTTTGATTAACATTTAAAATGGTTATGCTTATATGTGTTGATATATGTTTCACACGCATTTATAGAGACATTAACATTTATCAGAATCAGAAAAGGGAGCGAGGCCAGGACCCTGCTGCTTAACATAAATTCAGCAAATAGCCGCGAAAGGAAGGAAGGATGAGACCTGGGTACAATGGACAGGCCGCAATGGCGATAAATAAAGATTAAAATCTGTGAAACGGTCACAAAAGTGCCTGGCACTTCATTTCAATTTATGTGCATAAGTATTTATATTTATACGCAACGCACACACAGACACATGCATGCAGCGGTGATAAATCAAAAATCGTTGCCTACTTTTTGGTGTCACAAGGCAAGGCTCGAGGACCCTGCTCGCAGGACGCAGTACGCAGGACCCATCCCAGGATGCCAGTGCGTGTGTGCATTTGTTTGCATTGTCGCCGCACAATAAATGCAATTTCATGTTTCAATCGCAAAAAAAGGACAACAGGGAGAATTAAAGTCACCAACTCGACTGCCTGCCTGCCTGGCTGTCGGTAGTTATGGCAACAACAGTTGTTGCCAAATGAAAAATCAAAATGGCGACGACCAAGTGAAATCATTACGTATACGCAGCGTAGTATTAAAATTCACAGCGTGCCTTGTGATTTTTATGCACGCGCCTTCCCTCGTCTCCCTTGGCGTTTTCCCTCTCACATTTTATGGCCATTAAATCAAAGTAGAAATAAAAGAAAGTAAATAAAAATGTTCGTTACAGCCTTAATAGGTGGGCCAGAGTGTACAGGACGGGTGCGTGGCCTTTTGGTTTCAAATGAAAAGCTGAAATCTTGTCATAAAAATGCGCGAATTCGCAAAGTGCACTTTATGCGCAACGTTTGTGACCAACACTCTCTCTCTCTCTCGAAAGTAATGAAAGGACTGCATAAAAAGCATAAGTGAATAAAAGGAAACGTTGCACGAATAGAGATAGCAAAGGACTTTAATGGGCTTCATGAACTTTTCTTAATCTTCAAAGGTATTAATATTCCTGGAATTCTAGATTTATTTTTTGTAATTAGTTACATCTAGATTCCAGACTGGTAATTTCCTTTTAATTAGTCTTTAATATTTGGAGCATCAGCTGCACACAGACACATCGAAATATTTTGCATAATTGTTGGCCAGTGCCATTGGCAGGCAGTCGGAAAAGCCAAAGCAAAAAATAATAATAATTTCATGGTAATTCGTACGAAATTCTCTAAATTTACATATTTTTGCAACCACACACTCCCACACACACATGACCATGCTTATGCTTAGGAAATATATTTCAGTGGCAGGACCAACATCATCAGGAGCTGCATTAATTGCTTTTTCGTTAAAATATTTTAGAGCTAAGAAGGGTTGCCCTGCTGCCTGATGGCAGATGGGTTTTTCAGTTTACATATTATTATTATTTTATTTTTGTTTTTGTTTGAGGGTTTGGGGAGGTGTTGAAACTATGCATTTCGTATGCAAATGCAAATTTAATGAGCTTTAACTCGATGCCAAGCATGCGCGGGTGTTAATTTTGCGTCCGTCCGAATGTGTGTGCGATGGCAAAAATATTTTGTTAATTTTTAATTTTAATTGCAGTCGCTTGTTTGAAACTTTATTTTATTTATTTATTTCATTTGTTGTTGCCATCGCTGAATTTTGCATAATTATGTACTGGCGGCCAGGGGACTGTCAACATGGCAACAATTTCGCAATGGAAATAAACATTTCATTATTTATTTGTCAAATACAGAATTGTCGAGTTCGATGCGCTCTGATTGCAGCTATTTGTGGGTGTGTGGATGTAGTTATTCTCTTTTTTTTTTGGTAGTCGTGACGGGGCATCAATTAAACTAATTGTGCATTTAAATTGGCAAATTATTTCGCTTGATCCTTAATCATAAATTATTTATGCAATCAATTTGCATAAAGTCAAATAAACCGTCGAACATTGTCCTTGTGTGTCCTGTGACGCTGACTCCACATGCTATTTACAACATTTAAATGTCCTTCGTGCTTACTTATATGTGGATATTCTTTTGGTCTTTTGGATCTGCAAACGCTTTTATTTTAATTTGCGGTCAGCAGCTCCCTGTGCGGGGAAAACCAATTAAGTGGGCTCTAAAGCTGGCGCTTTTCTAGGCAATCGCGAGAGTTGCCTTGAAATTGAAAACCATTTGCGAAATTTAAACATTTTTTACCATGGATTTTTTTCGCACTCTTCGGTTGTGTCAGTGCTGGGCCTTTTCCTGGTTCCTGGTCCGTTTTTTGGCTTTTGTATGCTGCCGCCTGCCCTCTGCTAACTTTGTGCAAATTTAATTAAATTCTTCTTCAGCCCTTTGAGCCGCAGGGATGCAACCCTTAACGCATAATTTGTCTGCCAGTTTGGGTTCGAGGACTTCTGTCCTGGATGCGGTTGCAACTAAGCTCGAAAAATGTATATTCCAACGAGCCATATATTGCTCGAAAGTGTTGCATACTGCTTGGGGCAGTTTACACAGAGGAAATGGTTTTGAAAAATTAATTTTTCTTCATTTCTAAATGTAATTTGAAAGTTTACTTTGAAGAGAAAGAGGAGGAGTATATCTTAATATATTTATATTTATATATTTATTCTCCTTTTCATATAGAAATGCAATTAAATTAAGCTGCAACAGATGTAATTGGGTTTATTTTTAACAATATATATCTTGAAGAATGATTATTTTCTCCACACATTTTCCTTGGCCAGGAGGTTTCTGTGTGAGAAAAGAAAGCTGGGATTGTGGGTGTTACTACCAAACAAAAGTGTATTAATAGTTGGAGCCACCGCATAAGGCCTTTCAGTCATCTTTTTTTCGTTCATTTTCGCGTTTGTTTTAATGCCGCTGAAAATGTTTTAAAAGTGTTTTTCCTTATGCAACACCAACGACAAAGTGTTTGTGGCGTATACGTATTTTTTGTTGTATTTATTTCTTTTTTTTTGCCTGCTTCTGGTGACATTTAAAACAACAAAAAAATGGCTGTCACAATGCATTTTCTCATTTTGCATTTGCCGGGAGCGTTTTTCGGGAGGGAGGGTGGCAATAAAAAAGTAACAACAAGTGCCAAGAACGTGTGTGTGTGAGTGTGTGTGTGGTTGTGCGGCTGACAGTGAGTGATAAAAGTTATGAACTCTTTGGGAGAAGCGCTGAAAATTTAGAAGTGTTGTGTGTGCGCTTTTTCGAGTGCTTTTTGTGTGTTTGATCGCTAAAGTTTTTCCTTGTTATATTCTCTACGCTTTTTTTTGTTTAAGAGCATTGCACTTTTGTGAAAATAATTGCGGTTTTCATTCCAGTAATTTTTTGTTTGTCCATTTCCCAAAACATATTTATTTAATGCAATTTATTTATATTTGCAGTGAGCTTTATGCTCAATTAAACAGGAAACCAAAGGAAAAATTGACGGAAAAAATAAAACTAATTGAAAACTGAGCTCAATTGAATGCTGTAATATTTAATGATATATAAATAAATGGATGCAAGGGGTAATTTTTTTTTCCTTCTATTTGCCATTTATGTTAGTTAATTTTGTTTTCTTTGGCCCCCCAATGCTTGCATAATTTATAATTATTTTTAATGAATATTTATAAGCTTGGCTAGAAGAGCAGTAATAATATTTATTTTCACTTACCTTCCGCTGAATTGTCCTTGCTCGCCCTTATCCTTTTCTCTCTCGCCTTCTTTAGAGATGCAGCTGCAGCCGGTTGTACATTTTTAATGTATTTTTAAGTAATTTACTGCAATAAAAAAGCGTGAAAAATATGCAAATTAGTAAAAGAGAGGGCCATGGATGGCGTCTTATTAGCATTCCAAATGAGGTGGCTCAGGGCGGGGCCATTTTCTCATTTCCTCGGCGACTTTTCAACTTTCGAAAAGAGAAAGAGCTAGACAAGTACATATGTGTGGGTGACGCGCTGTCATTATAACACTAATTATGTCATACATATGCAAGAGTGGCAAACAAGCATGTCCTGCGCGGAGACACGTGTGTGTAAGCCACTTAAATTTCAACGCATACGTAATGCCTATTCATGAGACACATCCCTCGTGACGGGATGTGTGTATGCTTAATTTAATTAAGCTGCTTGTTACTTAGAACTCGCAATGCAGGCCATAACCGCAAACAATTTGCAAGTCAAGAGCGTGTAATGCAGGACGAGAGCGGAGCGGCAGCCAAAGGATTACGCTGAAGAGTCTGCCTCCTGGCAACTTGACATGAATCACTCAGAGCTCAGAGCTCGGGAACTGGAAACTCTCCACTGTGCAAACCCAAAAAGAATATTCAAATTTTTGGAATAATTTTATTCAATTTACCTCTCGTCCAATCGAATCAAATGCAAAAAGCTCTCTTGTTTGGTTACGAAACAGTTTCAAGAAAATAATTAAGAACTAAGCTGGGATTGCAAATAAATAACAAATTTCACCCCCAGCAGATTTCTCTCTGGTAAAGGTCAGGTCGTCCTGTGTCCTGTGTGTAATTCGGTTATTTCCTGCCCCGAAAAATGTGTAATAGAGGGGGCAAATCTACATACATCTGAATATATTTTCTGGCCGGGCCATAAATAAGGAAACATCTTTGTATTTCTTTGTTTATTCTGTATGCATGGCCAGCTCTTCCTCACTAAATTCATCAGCTCATTTCCGTCTGTCTGTGCTGTGTCCTGAGCGTCCTGCCTGCCTCTTATTGTGTTATTTTATTCTGAGGCCCAAAAATTTCTAATTGCTCGCCGCATACAAATTGCCAGTTATCTAAACTGACAACTTCTGAAGCATTTGTAATTCAATTGCCATTTCCAGTGTGTGTGTGTGTGTGTGTGGGAGCAAGGATTCAAAGCCAAAAATTGTATGAATACGAAATTTGTTATTTTTCCACAAATATTTATTTGACTTTCGGTACTGATTCGGCTTTCGATTTGTTCACCATCTCAAATCGCATGTTTAGCAGGGATTATCGAAGCACTTTGCTCACCAACTCCTACCTTTTTTTTATGGATCGACAGCTGAAGCAATTTATTGAGATGCTGCATGGATATAAACATCTCAAACTACATTTCCAAGAGAAAAGAGTGTAGCAGAAAACATATGTTTTATGGAAACTTAAAAAGTAAGTTTATACATTAACATTGTATGATAAACTTTAGTGTCGTTTGTGCCTTTTTAAGGCCTGAAAATTGTTGTTTCAAAATTCTAAGAAATTGAAAAATATAAGTATTAAAGAAAGCTAGTTCTTTTTAAGCTTAAGTCAAATATTTTTCAGTGCAGACAAATCGTGAAAACCAAACATTTTCAGATTGCCTACTTTTATACACTGAAAGAACATCTCTGAAACACTCTGAAAACATCTAAATTGTTCATAAAACCCATACGTTTGAAAATAGTTTATTATAAGTATTAATTTCTCCTTGAATTTAAACAGAAATACCTTTTTTTCGGTGCAAGTAAATCCTTAAAAGCAAACATCTTCGATTTGTACATTGTTCTTGCAGTTTCTTTAAATTGCTGGGATATATGCAAGCTGTGTGAGTTATCTGGTATCTGGTATCTGGTATCCGCATGTATCGCGTTTATTGCAGATATATATCTGCTAATTTGCATGGGCTGAAAACCGCAATCCCTTGCCTGCCACATAATGTTCCTGCATTCGTATTCAGCCAAGCATGCGGTAATACATATGCATTCAGCACAAACAACTCCCTCCCCTGTCTGTCCGACTGTCAGCTCTGTCTGGCTGCATTTTCATATTGAAAATCACTGAAGTGGCAGACCAGCTCCCCACCAAAACCCCTCCTCCAGCGCGTTTTGTGTGGCAATTTTGGTTCTCTTACTTTGCGAATGAAAGATTATGGAGAACAAAAAATATGAATAAAAAAAGAGCTGAGCGCATTTTAATTTTAATAGACATGCCTGGCTTTCCATGGATGCTGGGCATAATGAGCGCTGCTTAGGCCAGACTCAGCTCTCAATGGATGTTAATAAAAGTATGGCATGCATAATTTTATTGCCCTCCCCGCACCGACACTCAGCACTCCCTGGAGCTGCCCTTTAGCCGTGTCTTTGCTTTTGTTTAAATAATGAAATGTGCAAATGTGTTGCCAGGTTGCCAGGCACGCGCACACACCATGAACATATGCAGATACATTCTGTACAGGAAAGAAAATTGAGATGCATTATATAAATTCTATATTATATATCTTATATTTCAAGTGCATTAATATAGAAGAGTATGCAGAATGAAAGCTATTACCTTGAGTCAATTAAACTCTCGCCTTGGGGGGCTATAAATGTCTGGTTATTTATTTTATTACCAAAGTGCTACTATCTCTCATAAATGTCAGAATACTCTGCAAATTTCGTTCTGTGCATTTCTACATATGTGCTTTTGGCTCTCTGTATGTATCTTTGTATCTTATGGATGCACGCGCGCCCTGCTTTTTTACATAATTACATCGCTCCCCTTTGCACAGCCTTTGTTTTTTGTTTAGTTGCTAATTTATTTGTGTATGCATTTGGGTCTTCATTCATGCTCTGCATTCATACACGACTCTGGCTCTTTCCCTTCTTTTGTATGCATTTTTGAGCAATTTTAAGCCTTTGTTGTGCGCATTTAGAATGTATCTGGCCGTCTTTGTTGGCTATGCAATTGTAATTACTTCAATTGCAACTCCCTCGGTATCTTGTACACATGTTTCATGGGCATAATTCGCGCTTCGCTGGCCAAGTTGTTGCCAGCTTTGGTTGGTTAGAAAGAGGCAAAGCAAAGAAAGCCTTTTGAATGTGGCAGAAACGATTCATTTCACAGCAAAAACAGTGTGTGTGCGGTGTGTGCGGTGCCCTGCTTCGGTTTCCAGTGGCTTCGTGCTGGCACTTTCTAAGCTTCCTCCCCGCTACTCATTAGAGCCATAGTTGGCCAAAGTTCTGCTGTTCTTTATGCTGTGTTGTGGCTGCTTTTTACTGTTTTTGCTTCGGCTTCGATTTCCCATTATGCCAAAGGTAGGAAAAATAAAACTAGTTCTTCCCTCGCTTTTGGTTTTTTTCTTTTCTAATCACGTTTGCCAACCGCAGCCGGCGCATTGAACCAGGAAAGTAGATTTATGCATTGTTCTAGGTGTTGCACCTCCGTGGTTCTTGTGGCCATCGTTGTGCAGCGTGTTAATTACCCGACTTTGTTGGGAAAGTAAGAAAGTCTCGGAGGGAAGCGGAGTCTCGTAAGCATTAACCACCGCGCAAAATTCCCTGGGAGTTCTGCCTTCCTTTCTTGCCTTTTTTTTGCCTCAAGAATTGCCTTTCCTTTCCGCACGCATAAATCATTTTTTATTAGCTTTAACACACGATGAGTTCGGATTTCACAGGCCTCCAAAAAACAAAAACAAAAAAAAGAAAACTACATTCGACTTTAGCCTCTGCGATTTTTATTCTTTATGCTTTGCATGTTCAGCTTTAATTGAAATATACTGCTGACCCCGAAAAAAATTGAGAAAGGAGGCGAATCGCATTCCATTTCTCACAGCACGCAAAAGGATAATATATAGTATAGTATAGTATAGTATATTACTCTTGACCTTTGGCCAAATAAACTTATTCTTACAAGAGCTCCTCCTCTGCATTGGACCTTGAAAAATTGTTGTGTGCTTTCTCTTAACCTACTTCCCCGAATAAAAAAACATTACCCCAAAAATCCAACTGAAGGATATACAATTTTTTCACTTTTCCTGCTGGGCTCTTCAGTTCGCTTTACTTTTTATTTCATTCCGTTTTTTGTAATCAACAAAGTTCCAACGTTGCCATATAAATATTTGCATGGCCGGGACCCAAAAGGAAGTTCAAACAAGAGGAAGAGGGCCAACTTGCCGCGCACTTATTATTATATATGGCCAACAACAACAACAACTGACAACACTATGAAAAACTCCAACAAAAACAATAGGTTCGGGGCATCTGACGCGTAAATGTGCAAAAGCTTTAAATTAAAAGTGGAGGCTGACTGAAAGGAGGTGGTGGTGGTGGTGCTGGTGGCTCACTACTGCGGCTTGTTGTGTCAGCTGTCGTCGTCTGGACTTCATTTTATGCGCTGACAATTTCTCATTATTAAAATTACAGCACCCCGGCAGCAGCAGCAGCAACATCGGAAGGAGAAAAAGAAAATGCAAGAACAATGAGAGGAAGGAAAAGCATCTTTGAGGAAACCGAGGAGTTTTTTACTCTATGAATAAATGGAATTCTACAAAAAAAGAATACTACAAATGAGTTACTTGAATTCAATACGATTTAAGCTAGAGTCAAAACATGGTCTAAACCTTATCAAACGAATCAATTTCTGTAGAAAGTATAATTAAAATTTCCAAGTAAGAAATGAGTTTCAGCTTCATATTTATTATAACATTTCTTAGATGGAAACTTGGCAAAAAATTTAAACTGTGCTCTCCTTTCCTGGCCTTTTTTTCAATATAGTTAAGCCCCTTGAAAGAGTATTAAGACCAAGTGAAAAGCCGAGGACGAAACAACAAATTATCTCCAGTTGTGTAAATGTGCAAATTATTTTACTCATACAGCTTTTTCTTTTGTGTGTACACTTCTTCGCTTATTCAGCAGGCACTCATCTCAAAGTAGGAAAATCAAATGGAATATATTCCTTTTCGATCCAAACAGGTATATTGCCTGATCCTACTGAAAATGAAGCATTATACGGTGACCAGTATATGCTTTCCTCTGTCAGCTGGGCGTCATTTGGCTGG